TTTTTTTTCTTTTAATTTAATCGATGTTTAAAAATTTTAACATATTTTAGTGTTTAAAAACAAAACTGTAAAGAAATGAAATATTATGTATTTGGCTTCATTAGAATTTTGGTTTATGAGGATGAGAGGAGGTATGAACTATGGATTCCATTTAAACACGGTCAAAGTATATTATTATTATAGAAGCCATTAATACAAATCTTTGACTTGTATTGAATTGGTTCTTACCTTTATACAGGGTGATTTTTAAGCATTGCTTATCCTATTTGTATGGTTAAATTATGCTTGAGATTTTTTGGAATTTTTAAATACTCTTTTGAAGACCTTTTTTCGGATTTTTGACTTTCTTTGTACCACGTAAAGATGATCCTGCGACAGTACAAACTTCAGTTTTTCAAATAGGAACCTCCCTTTTTTTGTTTTGAGAATTTTAACGTATCTAAATAAAAATTCGAGCTACTAGTTTTTGAGTTATGTAAATTTATGTCTTAAGAATAATATGTCTATGATAATAGGTAGGTTAATTAGCTTAGACGATTTTAAAAAGTTTGCGATTACAATTGATTTATCAATATAAATAATTTGTAAAAATGATCCAAGTATAATAAATACTACATCTAACATAGTTTTATTTTTAAAAATACCATTTTTAAGGATAATTATTATCCTTTGTATAAATATTTTATTAACTCAGAAACTATTCATTAGATACATATTATACATATTATATATAGATTTAATTTAGATACATCAAATTAATGTTCAAAACAAATATCCACTAAATAATTTTCAGTAAAAAAGGGGGGTTCTCATTTGAAAAATAGATCTTAGTATCACCACACGATATTCCTTAAGTAGTACAAAAAATATCTCAAATTTAAAAATATGATCTTTAAGTCTTCTTAAAATCAGAATTTGAATAAATGTAGTATTAAAGGAAAACATGGGGAGGAATATGCTTGAAAAATTCCCCTTTTATATATATAATAATGTATATATAATAATTATGTATTAGTATTAAATACTTGTTTATATGAATTGTTATATTTTTGAATCGTAAAAATTAGTTAATATATTGACCAACAACATTTTGTTTTTCTGAAAACTGACAAAATTTTTTCTGATATAAATATTATTTCTTTAATGATAAATACTTTAAACAAAAATAATAAATCAGTAACGTTTTTACATAAGTAAAAAGAAGAGAATATTACGTACATTACTACATGTTTGTTGATGTTATACAATTTTAGATTGGAATTTTTGTATTATCATAATATATAATATTAATTTAAAATTTAACAACATTCTATCATATTGTCATTGGACAAAATTGATATATTTTCATGATTAAAAACATAATAATATTTAAAGATGATGTCAGAGCAGTATTTGTTTTCCCTCGCAGACCCACACGCAACATAAAATTTAGATTAAATTGTCAAAACTGTTCTTAAAGTTTCTTGAACATAATACTATTTTAAAAGCGTGAAATATACTTTAACATTTGACATAGGATACCATAAAAAAGCTACCAATGTTTGGTACTTTATTTTTGTCAAATAACTGTCTCAAAATTAATTTAAATTCATTTAAATATGMAAAAATATTAAATTAATATAAACCAATTTTTCAAATTGTCTAAAATATTATTCTCAATAGTAAATATTTTATAACAGGTAATACGTTCTCTGAGATTACTCAAAAACTATTAAAAAATTATTTTTATAAATGAGTTTTGTCAGTTATTTAGGTGGGTCAGTGAGTGAAAGCAAATACAGCATTCTGATATTATCTCAAAAATAACGACAGGTCAAAGACGGTATAACAACGCTTATAATAGTTTAAATAAATAAAGAATATAAAATTGATATTTATTAAATAAATAAGTTTTAAATATTAGACTAAATCTTTTAAGGTTTGCTTTTAGAAAATTAGCTGACATAAAATTTAATTCAAATTTTTACTATCATCATTAAGTTTACAAAGCTTATAACTATATAATAATAATGTTTTTATTTTTCATGATCTTTTGTTTTTATTGACTGTCTACTGCCTAGCTGTTATGATTAATTATACAAGTCAGAAACAATACATAATATACAAATATTGTAATACCATAATAGCTATAGGTATCAACGCCCAATTTGCAATTCATTGATATAGTTTTACTCATTTATATTACTAACATTAATTTTTTGTTTCCGTCTAACAAGTAGGTATAACATAAAAATTACTTACGACAGCTAATTGCGTTTACCTTCGTTGTTTTAAAAACTTAAGTTAATCTACCTACTATCTGTTATGAAACTTAATTGTAAAACATGAACTTTTTGAAAAAAAAAATTGAATTATCGTAAATAATTATCATATACAAACATGCCCTTACCATCAAGGTTTCACAATAGGTCGATTCTTTTTAATTTTTAAACTAACAAAGTTAAATGTTATCTGCCAATTGCAAGTTTGGTATGATACGCACTTGTAAGACGGAGACAAAAAATGAAGAGCTCACTGTAATACCAGGGTAAGTCCAGTTTTTCCGAAAATCAATTTTTAATTGTTTCCAATAATGTGCCATAATCAATCTGTGTGTAGTAACATCATTTTTTGTTGTAATTTTTTTTTTTTAAATTTTCTATCCGCTAAAATAGTTTTTCCTATTCCTGAAAATTTTTCAAAAGTGTACTTACCCTGTTGTTGCAGTGAACTCTTCAAATGTCTGTGTAGTGTTCTCTAATTAATAAATATCTTATAGCAGCCTTTCTTAACACGTTGTACTCGTACCAAATAGTGATACATAGAAAGCTCATAT